AATAGATGTTTACAGATTTACCTAAATGCATTAAATAAATATAAATTCTTTAAAATACGAATAAATGAGTCGTTTAATATTAATATTCGACGATCTAACAGTACGACACCAGTGGTACAGAAATTCACCACACGTTGACATTTGAAGGTTACAAACCATAATTTCCCCAAGGTTATAATTTCAGTGCAATATCAGTGCGCTATTACGTCGAACAAAAAACGCTGTGCAATGATTACAAAATCTGGTAAATATCAGCAATGTCGATAAAATGACGTGAGCTAGTATAATGGGCAAATAAATACTTACTGTTTCTTTAATATTTATTACTTTCCATCTAGCAGGTCATCTGTGACCGCTTTTAAGTAACTGGTCATCTATCCTTTTCTTCCTTTGCTTTACTTTCACTGCCATCTGTAAATTAAATGAAGCATGCTGCCCTTTTCTCTTATCTACGATGAAACAAACAGTTTTCTTTTAATCTTTCAAGCTCTACCACAAGCACTACCAAAAGTACTTATTAGTACTACTCTCACTGCATTATACCCGCAATCTTCCTCACTGATGCCATTAGAGCACGACTACGGAATAGCAGATACCATTCAAAAACTAGTATTAGAAATAGTGCTGCTATTACTTGCAGGTGCATAGGCACTATAGTACCTGAATTGCTGGGTAAATGAGCATCGATATTGTAGTAACTACCATCGCCTTCTTTTTCAGTGTTACTGACTGATTTTATTGGGATCTTCAATATTTTATGGAGGCATTGCATTTCCTTGAAGAAGGTTACAGTTCATTCACATCGAAACGTTAAAAATGGCAATTGTAAGGAAAAATTTCGAAAATCAGTTAAATTATCAATCTTAATCTTCCTAGCGCATGTAATCTAATAAAAATATGCTCTATGAATTAACTTCCTCAACTTTCCTTTACCCCTGCTCAAGAATTCAGGACTTGAGTCACTCTTAATAGCAGTTTGCCAGTTCCTCCCGTTTTTTTCTTTCTCATAATCTGAGCGTTTGGGCCAATATGCTAACGGTGTTATCAGATTTTCTCTTCATATGACCGAACCAAGGGCGCTTACTCCCGATCAGTCACCATTCGTATAACTTAAACAGTCCTTCCCATGCTCCTTATGGAATACAACGGATAACAAACTGCTCGCTGAACCCTGACGATCGCCTGAATGTGGGCATTTCTATTAAGAATCAATGTTAATTCAGAGAAAAATGGCTGAGACTGACCTCATAAACTTCTGTTCATTTTCACTGTCTTGCTTGATTGAACCAAAATACTTCATGAATGGGTTCTATGTAGCCCTCCACCTTCAGCCATTTAATAATATTGATCACTGATCACCCTTGTCTAAGCAGGGATTTTGTTTTCTATTCCACCGCTAGTGCTTCCAACTCGCGCTGTACACAAATAGCACGGGTAGATATCTTGAATAACCACACAATTACAGCAACAGCTTCTGTCTCGTTTGATGACACCATGTCTTCATCGGCATTCTCCCACAAGCCCATCTACAGAGAATTTCTTCATACCATGCGTCTTTTTCTGCATATTTCTAAGACTGAGTTTTCTCCAGTGAATGAGTTTATAACCTAAATCGATTGCATACGACTCTATTCCGTACTATTTGCTTTCCTGGATCCATACGATGCGAATTTTTCCTCAATCGATATTCTTATTTTAGCATCAGCTTTCGAAGAAATTACATTATGCATTGTACATTATTCCTTTACCAGTAAAGAACCTTACTTAATCAAATTGTCGCTGGATTTGACGACCTCCAATTTCGTCTTCTTGCTGCCCGTGGAAACCTAAAGGAAAAAAACTGCCCACACATTGCCACCATATACAACAACTGCATCATTTTACCGACACATCAATGAAAGCCAGGTGAGAATTGTTCGAAGCAGGAATGGCGTAGAAGAAATCGAATGGCTTGTTTGGGACAGGGGGCGACACGACGATACGGTCGTATCCTCGGCAGAGTTGGGTGGAAATGTCGATTTCACGATTCGCTTCCAAAACAGGCACAGGTGTTATATGCTCGCCCACTGTACAGCCATACTGGATCGTCACAAACAGTACAATAAATACAGTATGGCAGTCCATGAGTCTGAAATACAATCGGCTGCTATGTGTCATTAACCATTAACATCAAAATCTTCTCCATGAATAAGCGAATAATAAGCGACTGATTTGATTAAACAGAAAATGGTAGAGTTGTGCAAAACACGAGCTCACAATTACCGTGTACTTCAGTGGTTCGCAAAAATAGTAAAATACAATTCTTCAGAAAATGCACCGTACAAGCTGCCTATCATTCTATACGGTTCAAAGCATCCACAGAAAAGGAAAATTAATAAACTATCAGTGACTAACTCCTGTGCTGTCAATGACATATTTCGATTGCTAGTACTTGCGATAACAGATGGTTTTCATCTCAAAGCAACTCGCAATTATTCGAAATTTATTACTATATTGTTACGATCCGCCAAGTTCATAGGAAGGCCCTCTAAGCCTAATATCAAACAATGATCAAAACTCCATTTCAAATAACTGTCCAATCGGAATAAACATTTCCATAAAACTTGTGGCGCTTTCAGAACAATAAGGAATATGGAAAGAGAACCGAACGATTGCTATCACAACTAAATGGTTGCACAGACTATCTGATTTGGTAAACGTTTCATCGATATCGCTATTTAAATGCTGAAATTACAACCACGGCCAGGTTACCGTATATTAAGTATGTGGCAATCTACAGACATGCCATTACTTTCACTGTCCTTCTATAGACGATTGCAAGACTATGCTTAAACACTGACATTAACAAAAATGCTTCCGTTAAGACTACAACTATAAAATGAACCTGCTGTTCTTTTGAAAGTAGTCGAACAAAAGCAGCATTGCATTTGAATTACAGCGAGAACACAGAAATTCAACTACTGTCATTTGCGACCTACCTAATTTAAAAACGAAATATGACAAACTCCCATCGACCTCCTGAAGTATCAAGTGACATCATACTCCTTTCTGGTGTCGATTACGACAGTTCTGCTTAAGTTGCTCGGTGGAGCTAAGATGAAAATTAATGTCATTCCAAAAACGAAGGATTTGTTCAAAAACTCAACATTCGATTTAATGTGAAGAAAGGATACAAAGTAGCGTCCAAAACATGATTTGGTGAAATACATTTCACTTTTAGTCATTCGCATCCATGCAGAAACATCTGGTAAAAAAGTGACTCATAATCTTCATCGGTTGAGGACCATAGTGGCATTTGAATGAGTTATTCTTGACTAGACAAATGAGAGAAAGAAGAAAGCCTTTAATCGTTGGAATGTCGGTACCCCTTATGTTTAAATTAGGGGATCAATTCTGGCACACTCATTTTTGTGAAGTTAGTGATGAGATTGTTGATCTCCATGTCATCAATCAGGGGTGCCCATTTTTAAACGAATAATCTACCAATTAACTGTTTCTCAGCTAAATGGCCCGAAGAAACATGGGTTAATTTTGCTTAAGGGAATTCGTCGATAAAACAAGTCTTGTCCATTGTGCGTATTCACACCCTGTATGTTCGTCATCAAAGTCGACCTCTTATCCAGCGATGCCACCGCTTCACAGAACAACACTTTAAGACAGAAAGATTAGTGAGGGAACTAACTAAGGCAGTAACACTGATTTTCTTTACAGGCCAGTTCTTGTTTTGGACGTGGTGAACTTTCTCTAGGTATAGCAATGGTATACTCGCCGTATAAGTTACACCAGAGCCTGCTACTTAGTAATATGGCATACGCTTTTTTCTGCACATAGACTTAATACTGTTATGCATTTTTCAAGCCAAAATTGAAAATATTTTGTGATCTCCGGATGGCAGTAATGGCTTAGAATCGGACAAAATATTTACCGATTCATGCTTATTAAACAAGTTGCAAGTTAAATTTTGCTCGTTAACACTATCTCCTTCAAAATAATCGTGTGACTACAGAGGTAGCAAAAATTATTCGACAAGGACCACAATATTCATCTAACATTAAAAAAATTAATACGCCCAAAATCACTAATTTATCACCTGGTAACGTAGAATCAAAATCAAGTTTCGAAATCAAAATTAATACATAATATTATATCAGATACAATAACTGTACGTAATTAACAATATTAATAATAATACACATTACATCCAAAAACAGCATGCAACAAACTCGCCGAACGGGACAGAATACATGAACTTAATAATCTAATTAATTTAACTTAATTTCTATGGCTTACACTGATACAGTGTCGTGGATGGTAAAACGACTTCTGATTCACGGTTGGAAGGATGAAAAACCTTTCACTACCTGATGTTGACCGTTGCTAATTTGGCTGAAACGTTAAAACAGTACTCAATAAAAGTTTTTATTGCTCTTCCTGCTGCCAACCATAGCACAAGAAGACCTAGCAGCTTAAACTAGAAAACCCCACCCTCCTTGCGGTTTGAAGAATGAACAATGACTGCAAAAAGTTCAGGATAGAGTTGTGATACTCAGACCTGCTTTACAGCAACTACTCCAAAATTCATAAAACACCCATAACAGAGGAATCATTTGCACACCGCAGTATGCCATCCCGTACGTCTTGAATGAAGACACTGACCTTTGACAGCACTGAAGAACACTGTTTACTTAAAGTAGACCTCTGTAAAATAGAAAAGGCACAATACAGAGGTTAAGATTTGCTTAACTTGACATGTCGACAGTAATACAAATTTTTTATTACAAATTTCATCTTCTATCACCGCTTCTCTTTTCCACTTGCGGATGCAGACGAATACGAACACAACTAATCTATACAATAACGTGGAATTGACTACCACCACCGAATGTTATTTAGTTTGTATCTGTAGCTGTACTGCACTGGCAACGCAACAGTGACTATCACCAGGGACCTTCACTCCCACTTTTGCAAACCATACCGAAAAACCGTTACTTTATCTAACATAATCCTACACTTTACTTAAACTTGACTGCCATCTATCATCGCAGATTCGTAGCAAGCAGCGATTCGGTATAACCATGCTATGTTTCACGTATTTAGCAACAAACACCATGATAAATTTATCATCGCCGAATTCAGCAGTACCACAAACAGGTACCACGTCACACCGATGCTTTGTACCCAACCAGGATACGGCCCATTGAACCTAGAAAATTTTAATTCTGTAGACAGAGAAAGGTTTCTCATATGAAAAACACCTCCACATCTCTATTCTTGAGCTTAAACTAAAATTAAGGGGAAACGTTGGTTACGAAGATCATGTCTCAGATTTCACCATTGAAGTTAACATATTAGCGAACTACTGTCGAAATTATAAACAATAAAAGGATCACCGTCAAAGCGACGAACAAGCCTCATTAATATGTGTCATGCAAAAACTAAACGCCTCTTAAAGCTGAAAATCAATTCGCAAAGAGAAATCCAGCGACCGGCACACTAGGCATTTGGAAACACGATGGAAGTACAGTATCTGGTAAGCAGGTACTTTTAAACTAATGACGTAAAAATACACACAGTGCCTTCTTCAGCTTCATCATCCATGATCACTTAATCATTTTGTTCGCGGAGGCAGACACATCAGACCGCGCTTACAAAATTCTCGGTATTGCGCCGGAGTCTGGAGCAAACTCCTTTCATATATTTTCACCAGGTTAATCCGGGACGTCGCCTCGGACTTCTGTTGGTCCGCTGGACGAGCAATAGTTGCTTCGCCTTCCTTTCTGGAGGCATTCACAACACATGCCCAAACCATCGCAGTTGTAAATTTTCAATCTTAAAAAGCATAGGCTGTATGCCAAGACTCCACGGATTTCTGTACTCCGCACCATTTCGAGACTCGTGAACCTCGCGACTCGTCTCAGAAAGCCCATTTCAGCAGCCTGTAACCGGGTTAGAAACATCTCAGTCATAGTCCAAGACTCATGACCGTAGGTAAGTATGCGGATAATGGTCGACTTGAACACCGAGAGCTTAGTTTTCAGACTGAGCTCTGCTTTAGTCGCAGTGCATGGAACTAGTTCAGAACGCCACTGACTACTCCAATTTGCCAGTCGATCTCTTTCTGAAATACTCCATCACCGGTAAATACAACTCCGAGGTACATGAATTTTTCCACTTACTCCACTGTCTCTCCATTAATCTGAACGAGAAAGCAATAGGCTTTTCGTTTTAGATGCTTTAACATGCATGCCGGCTACGTCGCACTAGGCCACTAACCTTTCCAAAGAGTGTTATAGATCAGCTTCAGAATAAGTCAAGAAAACAAGGCTGTCGGGAAACAGTAGCCTTGTTGCCTCTACATCCTCTACACCGATGCAGTTATCTCCTTGGCTGCGCCTGACTATTCTATCCATGTGCAACACAAACAGGAGAAAAGTCAGAACGCAGCCTTGGTAAAGACCAGTGCTAAGGCTGAATGGTTTCTACCTTTCGCCGTTTACTTTGACGCAGCACCTGCTGTCAGCATATTGTGATTGAATAGCACGTAGCAACTGGCCATCGATCCCGTATCCACTGACTGTGACGCGGGATGCTGTCGTAGGTTTTCTCTAGGTCAACAAAGCACATGTACGCCGCATGGGCAAACTCCCACGATTTATCAGCAATCCGGCCTAATGCGAATGTCTGATTAGATGTAATTCGACCAGGTCGGAAGCTACATTGTTCTTCCAACATCTTGAACTCAATCCTCAACACATCCTTTCCATCACCTTCACGTATTCGGTGCCACAGAGAATCAATGAGTAATGCCCTCATTATCGGAACACTCCCTCTGCTGTTCCTTCTTTAATACGGGTGCTGCAGTTTCCGGTCTCCAGCTTGCTGCAGTCTTCCCCGTTACTATTGCACTTTGATAAACATGTTTATAGCAACATGTCTTGCTCGCCAGTTGCTTTGAGCTCTCAGGGCGGATTTAATCAATTCCATAGCCTTTCCACCTTTGAAGCTTTTCACAGCTTGTGCGATTTCGTCTGTAAAGATACCAATATCTGTTCCTTGCTGCTCTAGAACGTTCCTGCTGCTGCTCATGGATAAGGAGTTCCTCAAACTGTCCTCTCCATCTTCAA